TGTTTTTTAATTTAAATTAAAATAATTCGCTAAGAATTGGTTCGATATTTAAGATATCATTGAATAAATAAAATAAAATCAATTTTGTTATATACCTGTAATAAAAACATAAATTCTAAAATCAAATCAACTTTAAAATAGTTTTTATGAATTGCAAACATTTTGCGATTATTAGTGACAATGTAATCAAACAAATGTTTGGAAATAGAGGTTACGATTAAATTATAGACACATAAATTAATTGTATACAAAATATTGAGTGAAGTGTTTTCCGGTAAAACAAAGTAGAGTTGATTTGATTGATTGCAGTTTTCATATCAAACTACAGTATAAGACGGATCATACGGTATATTAATTTCATTGCGAAATACCGGTATATTGTGCTGTTTTGCGTTACAGTAAAACAAATAACTTCTTACGGTAATCATAATTATCACAAATGAAATTCATAAAAATTAAACTTTAAATTTGGTTACACTTTGTATTTGTTGTTTGTAAGAGTTTTGTTATAAAATCTGATTTAAACATTAAATTTAATATACAGTATTTGGATTAAATTTATTGAAACAAAACAAACGTATGGTTTGGGGTTTGAGTTACCGATCACTGCACTCCTGTTCAGTGACCAGATTTCGAGCAGATTTCCAGTTAATGTACTCTTCTTTGTATGGTTTCAATGGAATGACGAAAACACTGATGTCATCGATGGTCGCCGTCTTATTGTCCGCTGTCTTCCAACCCCTTCCCCTCTCGCGTGACTTTCCCCTGGAATGCATCACTAAGTCTTGTGCGGNTGGTCGCCGTCTTATTGTCCGCTGTCTTCCAACCCCTTCCCCTCTCGCGTGACTTTCCCCTGGAATGCATCACTAAGTCTTGTGCGGCGGATATGTATCGGTATTTGTATCGCTGAACATCGTTTGCCGGGAAGACATCCAATGACTTTTGTATGACATCGGCTGCGCTCTCGTTGGTCGTGATGTCCCACAAGCCATCGGTTCCGATCACCAGAACGTCTCCATCAGTGATATTCTCATCGTTTTCCACGTCATAAATGCGAACCTTTAGTGTAAATAACATATTAGTTATCTTACGCTACAATAAATTGATTACAAATGAGTGAATCAATCAATACCTCCGGCTGTGCCGTCAGGAATGGTTTGATGTCGACGTCACTGTTTTGGGCTTTTAATTCGTGGTCACCGAAGCCTCGCGTCACTCCTATCGTAGCCAACACTCGGCTCTAATGAAATCAAATCCAATAATAAATTACAATTCAAATACTAAAACACATTTCGTTCAAACACTCACTCGTTTTCCTTCGCCATAAATGAGCGGAAACTTAAGGTCTTCGATAGTAACCGTCTTATAAGACCTGAGAATTTAAAAATGCAATTTAAAACACAAAGGTTTGCCAATGAATGAGAAGGCATACCATCCGGACATATAAGCGTCTCTGTAGAGCAACTTCTTTCCCAAATCTCTTCGGGCAGGTCTGCGAACAAACTCTAAATGCGTGAAATCGTTTCCAAGCAGTTCCGGCTTTAGGAGACCCTATAGTTTGTACCGAAATAATACATTCAATTAACAATCAAAACTACGGTAAATTAAATGAAAACTTTTTGTACCAAATATTTAATGCGTTCCCTCTCCGACTCTGGTGTGAAGTCAAATGACATGGGAATCACATCATTACCCTTACATATGATTGCTCTGAAATCATATACAATTTGTTAGCAAAACAAATGAGACATAATTTACAAAATAATGTAATACCTGC